TAATAATCAAGCTCCATCATACATCAGTGATCAGATTGTTCCACACATTCCTAACCGAGCACTTCGCTCTCAGACTGCAGGTTTACTGGTGGTTCCCAGAATATCTAAAAATAGGATGGGAAGCACATCTTTTAGTTATCAGGCTCCTGTCCTGTGGAAGCAGCTCCCAGCTTTAGTCCGTGAGGCAGACACCTTGTCTACCTTTAAGACTAGGCTTAAAACATTTTTACTTGACAGGGCCTATGGTTAAAATCTGATGTTAGCTTAGATCTGGACAAGTGGGGGAGTAGAGGGAGGTGGAGTGTACAGTCGGTAAAGAAGGCTTTCCTTTGCCCTGCCTCCAACAAGCCTCCATCTAAAAAGGTTAGGTTATCCAGAGTTATCTCTGTAGTTATGCTGCTATAGGCTTATACTGCTGGATAATACACTGACCACTTTCCACACTGGACTATTTTCTTCTACAATCTGCTCTTTAACTGTATTATTTTCTGCTATTTCAGCTGTTAACTTTATTTTTTCTCTAAGTGTTTTTCTCCCCAGAAGAAGCTACAATGGTGTTCTGCTGAGCTGTGGTGGCCTCATGGAGGGGGCCTTTGTCTAGCACACTTCTGCTAACCTCTTAAACATTCTCCCTCTCCTGATAATAACATTTTACTTTCTTTGACATCGAATGTGCTACTACTAGTTTACCCGTTTACTTATAGATTCACTAGGATAAATACAATAAAGTTTATCTCTCACCAAATAGAATATTTACTAAGAAATCACAATGTAACCATAGAAACACTACTTGGTGTGTGTGTGTGTGTGTGTGTGTGTGTGTGTGTGTGTGTGTGTGTGTGTGTGTGTGTGTGTGTGTGTGTGTGTGTGTGTGTGCGCGCTCTGTCTTCTCCATCCCCAGTGAGTCGTGATGGATGGCTGCTTATACTGAGCCAGGATCCTCTGGAGGTTTCTTCCTGTTAAAAGGGAGTTTTCCTCTCTACTGTCGCTAAATGCTTGCTTAGTATGAGGATTGCTGTAAAGTCACTGACACTAGTCAGTGACTTGATGCAATTTGCTGGGTTCCTTATACAGGAAACATTTTTTCTGATTGGCTTAATGAACTGACCTGAATTGGAATGTTTACTATGTGAAGTGCCTTGAGATGACTTTAGTCGTGACTTGGCACTATATTAATAAACTTGAATTGAATTGAATTAAAAGTGGCCAAAATGAGTTCTCTGAAGGGTGGCTGGGGTCTCCCTTAAGCCCGGATAACGCGATTTTCAGCCGTCGCACAGGATTGTTCATGTCACACTGTGAGAAGTCCAGAAAGGTGTCATACTGCATGACGCAAGATTTCTGTGAGTCAGACTGTACGGCGTCTCGCTCCAACAGGACATGCTGCGTCATGACCGCACCTCCCCGAAAGCACACTAAGAAGACCGGTAACCACAAGAAAGCTAAAGAGAAAATAAAGCGCTGTCATTAACACTTCTTTTTAGTGTCAGCTCAGTCATCCGGAAGAGGCTCTGAGTAGATCCTCTGCTCCTCCACACCGAGAGGTGCCAGTTGAGGTGGCTCAGGAATCTAGTTAGGATGCCTTCTAGACGCCTCCTTGGTGAGGTTTTCCAGGCACGTCGAACCGGAAGAAGACCTTTTGAAAGACCCAGGACACACGGGAGGGACTATGTTTCTCGGCTGGCCAAGGAACACTTTAGGATTACCCTGAAGGAGCTATCCCAAGTGGGTAAGAAGGAAGAGGGAAATCTGGGCCTCCCTGCTAGGGCTGCTTCCCCCATGACCCAAATCCAGATAAGCAGCCAAAAATGGATGGATGGATGGAAACATTATCTGTGTCACCACTGTAGGAGTTTCAGGAAATTTCTGGCAGGGGGCAAAATACTAGGAGGTGACGATGTCTCTGTCCCTTCAGCAGCAGTGTCTCCGCACAAAATTTTTCTTTTCAGGACTTTGCTCAGATGTGAGCATATTGCAACAGATTTGGCAGTGAGTGACATCACAGTGACATCACAGGAAAAACCCCAACAGGGAGGCAGCCTAACTAGATGCCTCCCTAGTGGGGTTTTTCTGGGCATGTCCAACTGGAAGAAGACAAAGCAGGGCTATTTAATCCCGAGCCTCGAGGGCAGGTATCCAGCACGTTTTGGTTATCACTTAGCCAGATGAGCTGCTGCACAGGTGACGCAACCACTGAATCATGTGTGTTGGACCAGAGATACCACTAAAATGTGCTGAATACCGGCTGTCGAGGCCCGGAATTGAATAGCCCTCACCTAAAGTAAGTCCCAAGACACCTGGAGGGACTATGTCTCTCAGCTGGCCAGCGATCGCCGTCAAGCTCCACACTAGTTTCACTCTAAAGGGACACTTTGGGACAACTCCTTCACATTCCAACAATTTTTATTATGTCAGTTCAGTGAACATTAGGTTGATAACCTTCAAAGAACAGAGACAAGTGTTAGATGTCACATAATTTATATAAAATACAATAAACAAAGAACTTTCTAAACTAAATCTTCCCACACTAACAGTGTAAATGATTAAATTAAAAGCATCTTCTTCTTCCTTTTAGAAAAGTTTATTGCAGTCAGCATGTAGAGTTTGTCCTCATCTACTTGATAGCCGATGCCCAGAGCTTTGTTGATTCCCTCTTTCACCTGGTTTGGAAGAATTAAGGTTTTCCTTTGATCCTGGTTTGGTACATCTGCTTCGGTTCCTTTCCTCCTTTGTATAAGCCAGGGTTACCAACCATTGGCGTCTTTAGAGTCAACTCATTGTTAGAGCTTGCTGTGCTGTTCCCGTTTGACTGAGGACTGACAGCCACCACCCTGCATAGGTGTTTTTTATCACCAATCAGTCGCCATTTTGTTGGTGCATTCTGGGAGATGTAGTTCTCTGTGGTGGTGGACCAGTTAGACCACCATTTACTCAACTTTAACCCAACAATCGCCTTAGAATTCCCCCGGAGAAGCCGGCAATACCTCTGCACCCAAAGGCTCTTCTATGTTTTTGTATTGGAGGGGGATCTAGCGCACATGCGCCAGATACAGCGTAAGTATATGGTAAAGATTAATGTGCCCAAAAGGAACTCTTTTCTTCTGGCTCTTGGAGAGTACAGACACTTTTTTCTCCTCTCCCTCCCTCCTCATCCCAAGGCTCTTTGTCCTGTCTGTGCATGGCGCTTTCTGCATTTTTTCTGGAAACTGGAAATGATTAAAAATGAATCTGGCCAGTTGGTCTCTCAACGTGATTGACAAAAATTTTTCAACAGTGAGAACGGGAGAAGGGGCTCCCGGATGAGCCTTTGGGACAGAGCCAGCTGGGTATATCATGGACTCCTGGAAACAGTGGAACCTGAAATGCTGTGGAGGATTCTGAAGATGTTTGGATATTCGTGGTTTTGGTGTTGGGATTCCTGCTGTTTGGCCTGAGCGGTTACCTGGCTTACCGGAAAATTAACGAGCTTTCGAGGAATATTGGCTCAATCCCGGAGCTCAGGGATGGAATGCATCGTGCTGTGAACGCACAAACTCATATAATTGTTGAGATGAGTCGTAAGCTTGGAACTTTGGCTGAGATTCAGGCTCTGGCACAAAAGGTGGATTCCATCAAGGAGTGAGTTGACGGATTAGCACGGATTGGGATAGATTAATTATGCCATTATTGGCTCTAGAGGGGTTGAAGACCAACAGAACACTAAGGCAGAGAGGAAATTATCCCAAAACAATTCTTATGTACATCTGGTGACCTTGGAGCCTGTGAGGCTGAAGTGAAAACTCCCCTCAGAAGAAATGTGGAATGCTGCTGTCGCTATGGAAACTCTTTCTCCCAATCCCAGCCTGGGCGAGACTGTGACCGGTGAAGGCCGTGGAACCGTATCTAGGAGTCAATGTGCCCTCTAACCCATTATCTCCCTGCCCTGTCCAAACGGAGGTGATGAGCGCTGCTCCGTGCGCCTGCTCGCACCGAAGTGAGGAGTCCCAACCCTACCTGCCCACCTGGAGGACACTTATGTTGTGTACTGTCTGAAGTCTGTGTGCATTTCTGTCTGAGGTGTTTTTTTTGCATAGCAAAGCTGCTCTCCCTGTGGAGGGTAACTCTGAAGTGCCTTTTTTCTCTCCCCCTGACTCTATCCTCATATAAAACCTCTTGATATATTACGGTAGCGCGACTCGGGTTGCGAATGACCACAGTCACCAATTCTTGTCATGTGTCTATGTATGTATGTCTGATCTCAGAATTGTGTGTACTGACACTCTAATTTCCCTCTGGGATTAATAAAGTATTTTTGAATTTGAATTGAATTTGAATTTAAATATATCACAGAACCATTCAGTTGTGGTAAAAGTGTAAAATAAAATGCTGAGTATACACAGCAATTATAGTCTAGTCAGTATAATGTATAGATCTTTTATTTTAATTGTGTGTTTTTTTTATATTTTGTGATTCCTATCTTCTTCCTCCTCTTCCTGTGATACTGGTGGGGTGGCGCCCTAGAGCCCCTTACAGACAAGCTGCCACCAACTGAGAGGACCGGGCCATCGTATCTCCCAGTCAATTTACCCTGAAGTTCTGAAAATAGAAACACGCCTAATGTTCTACTCTGCTCTTTAGAAACTGTGGCTGTTATCTGCATACTATGCTTTGCAATATTACACAATAAACATGGGTCTGTTGGAAAGACAGGGTGACCCCTCTCATGTATTGTGTTTTCCCTCCAATGGCTCATATACAACAGCATCATGACAAAACTCATGGAACTCAGGTTATATTTTGATAAGCCACCCTGAGATTTTGAGCGGCCCCCATTGAAAAACGTCCAAGACACGCCCCTGCTTTGTGATAAGCCCTAATGAATTTAACGTTATTTTTCTAAACTGAGGCCGTTTGTTCTATTCAAAGATAAAATAGTATTTGTACTTTAATTTAAACATGCGTTATAATAAATTGTAGTTATTCTTTATAGCACGTGCTGTGAACATCAGTCCTACAGAGAGGCGGGGAGAGAGAGCTGCTCTCCTCGTAAACAGTCCAGCTCCGACGCTTTACGCACAGCCATGGTTCTGACGCACAGGTGAACTTATCTCGCCTTCACGCGCTCAGATTCTACGAGGAGGAAATTTTGGTTTTAAGGCTATTAAAAGAAGAAACCACCGATAAACTTCCCACTCTCCTCTCTCCACGGCTTGAAGCGGAACCATGTCCAGGAAGAAGGCGGCGAGGGGCAAAGGGAGCTCCAAGAGTCCGAAGGCGTCTCCGAGCAGCGGGAGGACAGCGAAGGGGCTGGCCGCTGCTGCCGCTCCGTCTTCCGGACTGGTTTACCCGAGCAGACAGTCCATCAGCAACAGCGGAGAGTTTTACGACGTCGCCTTCAAGGTGAGCGTGCTACTGGCACGGCGCGCTCGCGCTGCTAAACCTGGCCGTCAGAGAGGAGCAGGTGCGCGTTTCTCAGCAGCAAAGCTGCAATCTGCAGATTTCACCTGGATGTTTTTCTGCTTTTTGTTCATTCAAAGTTAGAAAAGTTAACGGTTATTAAACAATTTCTAAACAATATTTAGAAACTTTTAGAACGTGTAATGTCCTTACCAAATCACCTGTTTCTGCTCCAGAAGAGACAGAGAAAAACAGAAATTAAACAACAAACGTTCAGCGTTAAGCATTTTAAATAATAAAACGAGCTTCTGTGGTTTAAATAATGGAAGAAAAGAAGAGGATATTATTCCTCTTAAGTGGACATAAATATGCGAGCTCCATGGCTGATGCGTCTGGTGCGTTTGTAATGTTTTGCCCTGAGTCCAGTGCTACAGAGGAGATGATGGAGACAGGTTTCTATAATTAATGAGATCAATTAACAGCAGAGCAGAAGCAGTGGCAGGGTTTTGCTGCAGCAGAAGTGAAGCTGTTATTGCACCTGCACATCCCGCAGTGATGCATGGCTATAGGAAAAAACATCAGATTTTTACCTGCGTTAGTCACATTCACAGACTTGTTTAATCTCATCGTTTACAAGTCGTCTCTAGTTTTATTCTCAGCTATACAATCAGCAGCAAATACATTTCAAAGAGATAAAAAGATAACCTAAAGAAAAAATTGGATTTTTCTAACTGATTTCACTTATTAGATAAAAAAAAATCTATAGAAACAATCCTGGTGCTGTCAGGGCCGTCTCTACCAAATTTGGTGCCCCAGGCAAGATTACTCCTTGGTGCATATGTTGTTCTTGAATTTAAATTAAAGGAAAGATGTGTGTTTCGACCACGCCAGTCACGTACGTTGAGATTCATCAGCTTGTAAAAGTTCGTAATTAGCATGACTACAAATCAGACGCATATCACCACAGAATCTCCTCTCCCCTAGCAAAGTTGCTACTTACCACACAGCCAGTTTAATGGTGTTTTTTTCTGCCTGAAAAAAATATGGCTGACGCTGATTCCATCAGCGTTAGTCTGAGGAAGTTTGCAGCCGCAAACGAAACGTAGCGGGAAAACGGGTAAACAAAACTGCTCTGTGTTTTAAAAAAAGAACTACAGCATGGAATTAGAGATACGACACAGCAAGAACACACCTGAGATGTGATGTGTTTCTTCTTGAGATCTTTTAGCTTACTCAACGATGACCGGTTTGACTAAAGTGATTTTAGGTCATAGTCATGGGTGTGACTGGTGGAACTAAATCATTTTATTGGGGGCGTTCTTTCTCCAGGGTCAGGTTGGTTTGGAGACATTTTCTTACTTAACTCATATGAAAGCAGATTTTTGTATTTATCTGATATGTTTTATCAACACAGTAATGAAAGCAAAGCCTCTATCAGACATCCTGTCTTACATTCTTACAGGTTCTAAGGTTTGCATGTCTGAATTCAGATCCTTGTCACGTTTCCAGCAGCAGCAGCAGCCTTAAACCCCCTACAGCCATGAGATGTGTACCAAAAAGCAATCTGCTCAAATGAAGGCACACTGTCATTCATAGGTCGTTCTAACGTTTATGTTCCTTCCACAGAAGGTCTGAAAGAGTCATGGCACTTGTGCAGTGGTTGGCATTCTCCTCAGATCAAATAATGAAGGCTGTCAGGGGTGTATAACAGCATGCTGTTACCCAGTCAATTCAAAGCGTTTCACAAGTGCAGAGCAGAGATGTGAAACATGCAGAAGAGGAATGAGAGCTGGTAAAAATAGATTTTATCAGATTAAGGCTTGTTGACCTCCTAGGGGCAATCTCCTTAAAAAGCTGTATAAAAGTTTTCATGCTGAAACAAGGAGCATCAGTTCCTTCACAGACGTGGTCATGGTTTTATATGGAGAAACTAGCTGGTTGGTTGTTCCAGACATCTTGGCTAACCAAACACAGATGTTCAGAGGATGTTGGTTGGATGAGAATAAGGCTGTGCAAATACTTAAATTAGAATTTCGGCTCCGAATTATCACAAAAATAATGCATGTGACGAAAAGGGTAATTTTAAGCATGCAAAGAGCTCTATAGTGCCATCTGGTGGGGCCCGGCCCCACTGAAATGAATGAGAATGAAATTACACACACACACACACACACACACACACACACACACACATACACACACACACACACACACACACACACACACACACACACACACACACACACACACACACACACACACACACACACACACACACGTTTGTATTTGAGAACCTTAAGAAAAAGCATGTATGTGATACTTTCCATCAGCCTGTGTTATTGTAGAAAAATGCCCTTTTCTAAACATTTTGCCCCTGAAAAGTTTTTGTACTTCATCTCAGAAAAACCCTCCTGCTCTTTTGTGTTTATCTGTTTCAGGTGATGCTGGTGGGAGATTCAGGTGTGGGAAAGACCTGTATGCTGGTTCGTTTTAAGGATGGAGCCTTTCTAGCTGGGAGCTTCATCTCCACCGTGGGCATTGATTTCAGGGTAGGAACTCTACAGACACAAAGGATTCTTTAGCCTAATTTAAGTGTTTGGTCTTTGTCGTCTTTGGTGCATCTTATAGAATGAATGTCTCGTTGGGTTGTTGGGATGCCAAAACATCTGAGTTCCTGAATTATTTATGAAACGCTCCTGCTGAAGTAGAAAACCTTTAGATTCAGGAAATAATTAGCTATAAAATCTTTGACTTTTTGAGGATTTGATAACCATCAGGCCATTTGTTTTGCTAACTTTTATTTCAAAATTCTCATACCATACCATACTATACTATACCATACTATGTTATACTTTACTATACTATACTATACTATACTATACTATACTATAGTATACTATACTATACTATACTTTACTATACTATACTATACTATAATATACTATACTATACTATGCTATACTATGCTATACTATACTGTGCTATCCTATACTATGCTATACAGGGTTTCCCCAGAAAATGAGTAAAGCCTGGCGGCTTCGGGGGGGGGGGGGGGGGGGGGGGGGCTCCCACACTCCGTCCAGCACCGCTCCTCTGTGAGAGCGGGGGTTGCACACGTTACGCTGCTGTTTCTCACCAGTATCAGCTGATGGAGGGCTCTAGTTTCATTGCGCCGTTCATGTCAGCAGATACGGTAGGGTCGGGGAGGGGGGCGGGGCATGACGCTTAGCCTGGCAGGTGGGCAAGCAAAGCCTGGCGGGCCACCAGACTTATAAAGCGCTGGGGGAAACCCTGCCATACTATGCTATGCTATGCTATATTATGCTATACCATACTATGCCATATTATGCTATGCTATATTATGCTATACCATACTATGCTATACTATACTACGCTATACTGTACTATACAATGCTATACTATACAATGCTATGCTATGCTTTGCTATACTATATTGTACTATGCTATTATATACGATACTATGCTAAGATATGATATGTTATGCTATGATTTACTATACTATATTATACTATATTATTATTCTATACTATGCTACGCTATACTATACTACGGTATACTATACTATGCTATGTTATACCATGCTATGCTATACTATACTATGCTATGCTATACTATGCAACACAATGCCTTGCTTTACAATACAATACTATACTATACAATGCTACGCTACACTATAATATGCTGTGCTATACTATAATATACTGTGCTGTACTATACTACACTATACTATGCAATGCTGCATTGTACTATACTATAATTTGCTATGCTAAACTGTGCTATACAATACTATGCTATACTATACCATACTATGCTACATTATACAATGTTATGTAATACTTTGCTGTACTGTACTTTACTATACTATGCTATTCTATACTATGCTATGCTATTCTATACTATACTGTACTATATTGTACTATGCTGTACTATGCTATACAATAGGGTCGTACAATCTGACTATAAGATCATTAAGAATTATAAAGGAATGATTATCTACCAAAGCTCCTAGATCGTAGAACCATCTGTTTGTGTTCTATCCTCTGTGCCATTATTTCTGGATGTGTCTACGAGCACACATTTTTCTTCAGTGGTGTCACGTTATTTTCTAGTCCTCTTTTGTTGGCTCAACAGATACACCAATGAATCTATCAGAGCAATTTTAAGGCAGCGTGTTGGTTTGTATAGCTGGGGTGTTTGGTAGAGCTGAGGAAAATAAACCTCAGATTCAGGAGGAGCAATGTGGTTTTCGTCCTGGCCGTGAAACACTGGACCAGCTCTATACTCTTAGGGAGATCCTGGAGGGTGCGTGGGAATTTGCCCAACCAGTCTACATGTGTTTGGTGGATTTGGAGAAGCCGTTTGACCGCATCCCTCGGGGGGCCCTGTGGGGGGTACTCCGGGAGTATGGGGTACCAGGCCCTCTGATACGGGCTGTTAGGTCTAGGGTTGTCATGGTAACTGGTATAGCGGTAAACCCCGGTAAAAAAGTTGACAATAAAAACAACCGTCCAGTTTTTAAAAAACTATATTATCTCGGTGGGTTTACCGTGGCCGCGGTTTTGGCGCGGTGACCCTTACCAGCCACCGTCGCTTCAGCTGAAGTTCCCGCGGCGCGCACACGCACTTTTTAATTTGCAACGGCACCAAAACTTTGAAGCTGAAATAATGGCCGAAGGAGGAGACGGCAGCGCCCAGAACATCCATCAGCCCTCAAAGAAGACTAAATCGGAAGTATGGGCATATTTTGGATTTTTGAAAATGCTGAGGGACAGTTAATAGAAGACTGCTATCCCGTTTGCAGAACGTGCAGGAAACAAGTGTCTGCAAAAGGCAGCAACACTTCGAATCTAATGGCACATCTGCGTGACCATCACCCACGTCTCTACAGCCAGTGCAAGGTAAGTTAACATTAGCATTTTAGCTCAAATGCATGACGTGAGGACTTTTGGTTGAGGGAGAATGCAACGAGTCACTATATACTGCAGCCGCAGCGTCCTCTGCCAGCATTTAAACCGTGTCATGGACACCCTGTTTGGATGAAGCATCTTATTTGTTGATGATGAAGAGAAATATACAATTAGTTCCTTGTCATTGATTTGTTTACTTATTCAATGCCATTTATACTTGAACATTTGGATTTGATTACATAGTGTAGTAGTTATTTTAGTAATTTGTTTTAAGTGGCTATTTGTTTTAAATACATATTTTTTTAAGGTTGACTTCAAGTGAAGTGTAGACTGGAGTTTTAGATTTTCATTTTGATAATGAAGAAAACAAGTATATGAGAAAACAAGTGGTGTTTCTTTGATTTGTTTACATATTGTTTATGTTTTGAATGTTTGGATTTGTATAATTTAAACCTGCACTGACTACTGTAACATGTTCCAGAAAAATAAGCTATTTGTTCCTTTACTTGTGAAAAGTTGCACTTTTGCTAAGGCTTTGTGTTATTTTAGGTTTAATAAACACTGTTAAACCTTTTCAGAACTATTTCAGTTTGTGTAGAACAGGACTATCAATGCTTTCTGAACATATGCAACACCGTTTAAAAAATACTGCGATAATACCGAAAACCGTGATAATTTTGGTCACAATAACCGTGAGGTTAAATTTTCATACCGTGACAACCCTAGTTAGGTCCCTGTATGACCAGTGTCAGGGCTTGGTCCGCATTGCCGGCAGTAAGTCGGGCTCGTTCCCAGTGAGAGTTGGACTCCGTCAAGGCTGCCCTTTGTCACCGATTCTGTTCCTAGCCTTTATGGACAGGATTTCTAGGCACAGCAAAGGTGTGGAGGGCATCCGTTTTGGTGGCCTGAGGATCAGGTCTCTGCTTTTTGCAGATGATGTGGTCCTGTTGGCTTCATCAGAATGTGATCTTCAGCTTTCACTGGAGCGGTTCACAGCCAAGTGTGAAGCAGCTGGGATGAGAATCAGCTCCTCTAAATCTGAGACCATGGTCTTGATTCGGAAAAGGGTAGAATGCCATCTCCGGGTCAGGGATGAGGAGTTTATGTATCTCGGGGTCTTGTTCACGAGTGAGGGAAAACTGGAGCGTGAGATCGATAGGCAGATTGGTGCTGCATCTGCAGTGATGTGGGCGTTGTTCCGGTCTGTCGTGGTGAAGAGATAGCTGAGTCAGAAGGCCAAGCTCTCGATTTACCGGTCGATCTGTGTTCCTGCCCTCACCTGTGGTCATGAGCTTTGGGTAGTGACCGAAAGAACAAGATAGTGGATACAAGCGGCCGAAATGAGATTACTCCGAAGAGTGGCTGGGCTCTCACTTAGGGTGAGAATCTCGGTCATTCGGGAGGGGCTCGGAGTAGACCCGCTGCTCCTCCTTATCGAGAGGAGCTTGTTGAGGTGGCTTGGGCATCTGGTCAGGATGCCTCCTGGACGCCTCCCTGGTGAGGTTTTCTGGGCATGTCCAACTGGGAGGAGACCCAAAAGTAGACCCAGGACACGGTGGAGGGACACTGTCTTTCACCTGGCATGGGAACGCCTTGGGATTCCCCCGGAGGAGCTGGCCCAAGTGGTTGGGGAGAGGGAAGTCTGGGCCTCTCGCCTTAGGCTACTGCCCCCGCGACCCGACTCCGGATAATCGGATGAAAATGGATGGATCGATGAATGGATGGATGGATACATGAGATAAATTGCAAATAAATGCTTTAGCAAATCAAATCTACTCAAAAAAGATATTTTCTCGAGTTTCCAAGATGCAAAACAGGACCCTCACGGTTATTTAATAGTGGATTTGAAACCGGAAACAACAGAACGTCTAAGGCTGTGCTGCGGAGCACTTCCGGGTCAAATGCCGGTGGTATATTTGCCTAAAATAGAATAATGTCATCCAGGATAAAACACAATGCCAAGATTCTCAAGGCTTTGTTTCGCATGAGCCGCCGGAAACGTCACGAGTTTTTAAAAGACTGCTTGCCGGATGTTGTGCATGCTCTGTGCGAGATTGCTTTAAACGTGCAGAACGGGAATATCCGGCTCTCTCCTCTCCAGTATAAGAAATTATCTAAAAACAAAGCGCTCCTGTAGAAGTTGGCTGATAACAAAACTGTTTTAAAAAGAAAAAGCTTTTAATCAGTCAAAAAGGCGGATTTCTGCCGATTCTCCTAGCAGCTGTTGCACCTCTACTAGGAGAACTAATCAGCAGTGTTATAAACAAATAGGAAATAATGGCTTCTCAAAAAATGTTCATGGTTACACCTCAACAATTATACCGTCTCACAAAACCCACCATCAGAGACGTAGCAGAGGCAGAGCTTGACACGGATATGAAATTAATTATGTAGGAGACAGGAGTAACGCATATGAGAAAATTAAGAAATACAACACATTGCTACAGTGTGTAACGGTATCAAATGACTGTTTTCCACCAAAAGTCATTTTCCCCCTCTCCTCCAACACAGAACTAGTCTGCATGAGATATGGCCTCAAGCTCTCATGCATTTGCTATAAACTGCTTCTTTCCAGCTCAAGAGAAGAATGAAGAAAGGACTCTCTCCTTTTAATAAATCAA